ATACAGAGGGTATTCGATTGTTGCCCTGGCCTGCACGGTCTCCAGATCTCTCACCAATTGAAAACATCTGGTCATGGGTTGCTGAGAGACTGATCCGCCACCCCTCTCCTGCTAATACAGTCAATGAAGCGTAGCATAGACTTGAAGCAGCATGGAATAAGTTGCCCATTTCTGTCATCCAAGCCCAGTTTGACTCCATGCCTAACCGGATAAGGGCCGTTTTAGCTGCCAGGGGTGGCAACTGTGTCTACTAATTTCGCACCCCTGTAAACCCTCAAACGGCTTGCAAATTTAATCATTTTGTCTTCATGCCATACTGTTTATGTACAATAAATATTTTTTTTTTATTTGCTTTCCTTCTTGGTGTTGCAATTTTAATGGCCAGCAGTGTATAACATATTTATGAAAATAATAACATAGAACATAAAAATAAACCCTTTTCAGTTTTGATTTATTTATTTAAATAAGTTTCAAACATATATAAAAAATTATAATGATCTTGCTCATTAGATAAGTTTAGAGAATATTTTGATGACACAAAAGCTTTACATAACACAAAAATAATTAAACACATTCAATGTTAAGGATATTTTAAGTTTAATAATATTGCCATCATTTTTAAAATTTTAATATTTAAACTTTATGAAAATACAAATAATTACTTTAAAATATATAATCTGAAAATAAGAACATTTAAATATTCTTACATTTTCCACACCTGTTGTTGAATCAGGCAAACACATATCTTTCTGTTCTAATTTGTTAACTCCTGATATGGATATTGTGTTTGTAGTAGCTTCCATTCCTGAAGAATTTTCTTCTTCTTCATCAGAGGATATTGTTAAACATTCTACATTATAAATTGAAAAAAAAAAAAATTTAAAATATTAATAATAAATGAAATTATAAGTAAGGGTAGCATTCAAATATGTTTTGTAAAGCAGAATAATAATAAGAATCTGCTTATAAAAGGGGTGTAGTCATGTGATATAATGTCATCGCTTTGCCCAACAAAATAATCGTCTGCCATATTGTTTGCTCATTTCACATTACGTTACTTGTTCACTCTATTATGTTAATATGGAAGAAAGGAATCTTACCTGGCTATGCAGCTGATTTGAAAGGTAATGATTTGATAAAATATAAAGAGAAAATTTCTTTTATTAGATAGGACCCATATGAAATGAAACCAATGGATTTTTCTCTAGAGATTAATGATGAAGATCTATGAATAAAAATTTCAAAACAGTCTATTATTAAAGAAACATTTTCTCCAAGACAGTTTTTAAATACATTAGGCATTGTTTGCTGTAAAATATTCCTATCTTGTTAGTGAAATAAATCAGACAAATGAATATACAAAACATTTATCCATTTTTTCAGAATTCTTGAAACTGCTGATTGTGAAATGTGGAACCTGTAAGCAAGATCCTTATGACATAAGTTCATTCTTAATCTCATCAAACACAAAAATTTCCTGAAACTGTGTTAATTTGCTTTGTTCTGAATGAACAACAGCAGAACCTAAGTCAAATACAGTCAAAAGAAGATTGAAGTTTACCACTCCTGTGAAAAAAACTTGTTTTTTTTTTTTCATCATTTCCTTGAAATGACTCAAGAGAATAAAAATCATTTATGGTGACTGTTGCTTTTAATGTTGCCAGTTCTTTCTAAAGTGCATCACATTCTTGCTCCAAATTATGTATCATAATGCAAGTAAGTTCTGTTTGTGACATAGATGCAACTCCTTTTTTGTTTTCAATTTGCACGTAAACAGTACTTTTTCTATTGTTGCACAAATCTGAAGCTGTTTTTAAATTTACAACATTTTCTGAAAGTTTGTGAAGTTTCTTCAATGGAAAGAACCTCACAAACTTCTTTATTGGAAAAAAAAACCTTAGTCTGATACATTTTTTTTGCACTATTTACTTTTTCTTCTTTTTATATCATGTTCTTGTCTTGCTCCCTTTGATCTGCTACTTTCTCCCATGTTTATTGTTGAAGCCAATCAGAACATTCTAAATCATATAGCTTTGCTAATTTTCCTTTAAATAAAAAATAGTTTCACAATAAGTTTTGCTCACATACACATTTACTTTTGTTTCCAAGTAGAGAAAAATGAGGAGCAGTGAGACAACAAAATTTATAAGGCAGAATTTCCATCAATAACACTTGTAATTCATTCTGATATCTTCTTTCATGCAATAACAGTCTGAGAAAATGTAAGTGCATATTATTTTCTTCATAAACATTACTTTACTCTTCTATTTAACTAATATTTTTCCCTCTGTAATTTGACACTAAGTCCAGGTATGAAAGAGATATTAAGGTAAGAAGTTTATTTTTTTCATTGCCCCTTTTACTTCAGTTTGTTTAAATATTAAGTAAAATCCTGTTTTATTTGTAACCTTTAGATTAAAAGTTAAATCGGTAAAGTAGTTTTGCCTGATAATTCCGGCAAACCATTCTGTTTACTTTTGCCATGAAGGATCTTCACTTTTTTTATCTTGATGAAGAATTACTGCCAGAATTCAGAAAAACAACCAATCTTTATGCTTTCTGTAGTTGGAATTGCAACCAAAACTATGAAACAAACTGTAATAAACTGAAATTAAACTTGAAAGAATGTGAGTTAGATGGCAAGATTGAGATTGACAACTAAACTGACAAGCAATGGAGTGCTTCTCTGCAAATCTCTGTATATGTGAGCAGAGTTGTATGACATCACATGCATCCCTTCTATTCTAATCATATATATATATATAGTCATCATAATCAGCATGGCCCAAAACATATAAATTAAAACACGTTTACTGTAATCAGAGTTTGGCTATAGTTATTATTGTTTTCAAAACAGGCATTTTTAATTTAAGCAGTCTTTTCACACTATCAAATGTGTCTGATAGTGTAAATGAGTTATCATCATCAATCTTAATCAGTGCTTTAAACATTAACAGTTTTAGTCAGTATTTGCTAATAGTGTAGTAGTTTAAATTGCTAATATTTATTACTTCAATTACACACTCACTGCTATTAAAAACAGTACTGCAAAATTCATAAAGCAAACAAAAATTATTATTAGATGATACATTATTGAATACTGTTGATATGATCCAATCCCATACTTGCTTCTATCCATACTCGACAAAGCTGTGGAGGAATTTCTGGCCAGAGGAGTCGGAGTGGGAAAAATATGTCGACTCCGACTCCTGCATTTTAAATTTACTTTAGTTTTTTTATTTAAATGAAAGAAAATTTATTATATATTTATTAATTTTTAAAAATCCTTTTATATTTTCTAATAATTCATTTATTTTAAATACAAAATACATCAATTTAATTTATTAAATACTGTATGTAGTGTTCTTTGTAGTATTTGTTTAGTAGTAAAATTATTTTGACCCAATTAGTACTCTATTTTTCAGAATGAGCCAGACTAACTGATCAGAATTCATATTTTTTTTTTCTGAACAAGGAGCTGAAGTAGCTAGATTGCACACTTTTTAATTGAACTAACTATTCTGGAAGGGTAAAATTGGAGTGCAAATGCTGTCGAATATATGTAGATGTAGAATTTTGTCGCCTGCTTTCTCCTCTTATTAAATATTTATTTGTATAAAAATTAATTTTTTTATACAAATAAATATTAAAAATACTAACTACGAGGGCAATTTTTTTTCAAACTCCGATGGTCCATAAAACAAAGACAAGTGTAAATAACAAAATGAAGTTAGGACAAAAAGTTAAGTACAAACATTGTTATTTTTCGACATAATCACCATGAAGATTGTGGCATTTGTCATATCTGTGGATGAGCTTTTCCATCCCCTTGTCATAGAATGTTGCCGCCAGTGAATTGAGATGGCCTTAACAATGTTGTTTTGAAGATCGTCATTAATTCATTAGTCTCAAAACCACTGCCCTGCTAGCCACATTTTCAGTTCAGGAAAGAGGTGGAAGTCTTCAACACCTTTAATTAAGAACCAAAATTTAATAGTATTAATGCTCCTTTATATGCAAGCTACAGTGCCACATTTCGTTAAACTTTACCCATTCTCAGATATTGTTTAATATCTCAGAATGGAAAATAAAGAAATTAAACAAATTAGATGCCAACACACATGCGAATTTTTCCCGTTTTATTGACTTTTTTGAGGGGTTTGGGAGATCTTCTTTCATGTAGATTTGCAAAAAAAAAAAAAAAAAAACTTAGAAGGTCAAATTTGACACAATTCCAATACTTTTCCGTTTTATATACATAACAAGTTGGTAAGTAAAAAGGAGTCGGAGTCATCAAAAAATCCACTGACTCTGACTTCTTTTTACTTACCAACTTGTTATGTATATAAAACGGACTCAGGCTTGTTATGTATATAAAATGGACTCAACAAATCCGTCGGCTCCGACTCCAGCTAAAACACAAAAACTCCATGACTTTGACTCCAACTTCACAGCCCTGAATATAATTGTAAATACAGATGATGAAGAATAAAATTAATCCTTCTTACTGTCCACTTCCATAAGATTAATCTCAGATAACCCTCAAATGTTTGATGAAATTTCAAAAATCCATTTTAATGAAGTGAATTAACTGTCACTGAAGAGGTTTGTGGAAGGTGTCCAAGAGGTGCCCCTTTGATGAAAAGGGTGAGAGAAGAGAAAATTACAATAAACTCATTGAATAGATAAGAAAAGTTAGTCCATCCAAATAGGTCATTGCAAACTTAGATCTTTGAATATAACTTGTTGCAGATCATCTAGTATTCTAGAATATTTATAATCTTACACCCTTCAATCCTTTGAACTCTGAAAATCTTTGTCTCCAAATGTACTATTTAATGATGGTTGCACAAAAATAATGTCATTCAGAGAAATTCTTGGTGTAAACAATATAATCAGTTGAATTAAAAAAGACTCTTAAAAGAAAGGGAAGTTGGATCACCTCTCCTCCCTTCATGATCATATTCTTATCCATGTAAAAAAGATGTCATTGTCACTTATATGGATTAGGTTTTTCAGCACTCCATAAAAAATTGATTAGTCATTCTGACATAATCAACAGGCAAATTTCAACTCAATACAGAATCTCACAATATAACCATTCATTCCAGAATGAAAGGATTTATAACCTTACATAATATTATCAATCTTAAATTTAGTAACTTATAATCTAGTGTAAATTCAGACACACCAGATATGTACAGAATATTAAATTACACTTCACTTAAGAAAATGTAAAATTTGCAAACAATAAATATTAAAACTTAAATTCTGAATTTCAATAAACTACAAAATCTAATGTTTCTTACCTGGTTCTTGATGTTTCACTTTTGACGATCGAATTTTCCGAGAAGCATTATTAGCCATTACAAACACTTTACAACCACTTGGGGCCTTGTTAAAACTTCCATTAGCATAAACTTGAAATTGTTCACTAAATTTTTTACCATAAAACTCCTGTTTGGATATGCTAATTTCTGCTGATGGTTTTTGGTGAATGCATGAAAGTGGTGATTCTGATAGAATTTTTCTTTTACACACAATAGTTTCTTTAAATAGTGGTTGACTACATGTTTTAATATTAGATGAAGATGTGACATTAAAAGAATCACAGTTTTGGAAATCTGTATTAAATTGTCCACTTTTTTCACAATCAGAAAATTTTTCTACTTCTTCTGTATTCTAATTTAAAAAAGTGATGTCAATATATTAAATACTATTTTAAAACAGTTAAATAATTGAAATTAAATTGAATTATAATCTAATATGATTAATAAATTAATAAAAATAAAACTAATATTTTTTAGATCAAATAATGAAAAGATAAATTTAAAAATCAGAAAATTCATTTTAATGACTCTTATTCAGATTAAATGCTAATAACTAATGGCTTATTGTTAAATTCAGCCCTGCTACTTTTGCTACTGAAGGTTTTTTTAACAACGCACAAGGAGCAGCACTGTAGTTCCAAAATGGCTTATCTCGGTGCAGCTGTTGGAATGTTTTGCAAATTATTTAATTTGAAACATTTTAAAGGTAATTCATTTTTGCATGACAATGCTTTGTTTGGGAGATAAAATTAATGTTTTATTTAATTAAATTTAAATCATTAATTTTAAACTAATGAAATCAAAACCACAGACATGTACAACATACAATGTTGGGCATGTTGCACTGCTGTATTAGGTGTGGAAGTTCACCTCTATCATTTTCTCCAACTTCAATGTCTACATTTTCTCTTATCTTTTTTGATACTAACATGGAGAATATACATAATTTGCTGTTAATATATCAAACAACAAGATAGCCTATGTTTTATTCTTATTAAATATAATATAATATAGTATAATAAAGCCAATAAATTTAATCTTTCCATTAATAGCGATAACTAAAATAATTATTGATGGCAACAAATTTTAGTGGAATTTGGGTAGTTTTTGAAATCTGTTTGAATCCTGAAAGAGGGATCTGTTTGATCAAATAGAAAAGAAATAATGAAAAAGAAATCATCTTATCAAAGAAGTTAAAACAGAGAAAACAAATATCTATTTCAGATTAATTTAAATCAAACATTTAAGATTGTTTGCATCATGTTTTCATGTACACTACACGAAATTACATGTGATGACTTAAATTTTTTTCAGTACAGTATTAAGCATATTTTAAGTAATATTTGCTGATTACCTGTACAGTCTCCTATATAGGCAGTGTTATAATAGCCTGTGCTGTATTATACTAGACCACTCATACTATAGTACTATATATCATAGTATTACATATTCAATACTCTAAATCCATTATATTTTTGTTATTTTCTTTAACAAGATTACCAATAAATATGACTAATTTTTGGAGGTGAATGTCTTATAGAGATTTTACTGTACAGTACATGCTTTTTCATCTTTGTTATCTGCAAACCTTGACACTATATTTAATTCTTAAATGAGTCTTTATGGGAGCCAACATTTTATTTCAGTGAAAGAATATTAATATTTTGGCCTTAATTGAGAATCTTTATCTATACTGTACTATTATTATAAAGAGGTAAAGTTTGTACATTTGGATGTAGGAGGTAATCTCCAAAACTACTCATCCGATTTCAAAAATTCTTTCACCAATATTTAGAATGGAACTTCAGGGTGGACACAGGCTGTATATTATTTCGCTAAACATTCATATAAATTAAAAGATATCATCTAAGATTAAGGCTTTTATGTCCAACAGATGGCGCTAACTCCACGAGTACGAAGACCTAAGTTTGCTTTTCTGTAAGGATGAACTAAAGCAAATCATCTTCTATCTATCTATATAAATAAAAATGTAATGTTCATTTGTTCCTACCGATTCCTTTGAAATTTTTACACAATGCTGCATTCGAATAAGCATGTATTTTTATATAATATACATGTTGAAATTAACCCCCCACTGGGGGGAGATGGACAGGATTAAGGCTTACCATGGAGAACTTGACTTCCATTATACTATTTTAGATGTGCTTTTTTTGCGTTTTTGATTGCATTTTAATAGGGTATGTCAAGAGAATGTACAGTACACTAAGAAGGGATTTTTGAAAAATTCTCCCCCACGGAGAAAGTGTTATACATTTATAATAGATACATTTTGAGCCACAACAACGCGTAGCGGGGTCTGCTAGTTTTGTAATAAAACTTTTGTACAAACTTCTTTATGTTCTGATAAGTACGTTAACTAAGTTCATTATTGAATTTTATTGTTTAAAAATACAATTTGGAAATTCTTCAGATAGATATGGATGTAGTTAGTCGATGCTTTTATCAGAACATAAAAAAATGCAGTCATTTAATTCTTAAATATATAGAAGCCAACTTTTATGCTTTTATATGCTTGTAATATAGATTTAATCCTAGAACTCTATTTCCAAATTTTATGCAAACACAAAATGTATATGGTGGAAACCTGGATTTAGTAGACAGTTATACTTAGTGGATAAAACCAGTCCTGTGTTAGTAATAGAACTACAAATGTATTTTTACCTCAATTAAGTGAATATTGCCTTCTACAGACAATGTTTCTCATGAATTTCATTAAAAGAAAATTATGCCTATTTTCAACACCACCATTTCAGAGAAGTTTTTGTGTCCTTAAACTCATTGGACAAAGTTTCCACAAATTCATTTTTAATAGTATTCTGACACTCTTCACATCAAACATTGAGAGATTGCCAGACTTTCTCCTTTACACAATAGAAGGGAGGTATTTTTAATTTTGAAAAAGAAAAGATTAATAGAAGCAATATGACTCACTTGAGTTATGTATTGAGAAAACTAGCAAACATCCTGCTTGAAAAGCCTAAACAGTATGCTCAGTAATAGTGCTTGTCTAGCTTACAATAGATGTGATTTTGAGTCCTATGCCATTCAAAGTCTCTTCTCATAGATTTATCCAAATTAATTAATTATTAATTTCTAGTTATTTCTAGTACAAAAGGATATTTAACAGTTCTAGTGTCAAATTATGAAATTATATTACAGTAGAGCGTCAATTTTCCGAATCAATTGGAGACTGGGGTTGTTCAGATAACTGATATTTCGGATAACTGATTTACGTACGAAAAAATAGTTTAACGCATCCGATGTCGAAATTTTTCTCCGTTGCGACATGCAACGGAGAAAAATTTCGTCGCTGTTAAGCTTAACAAAGACTATTGTATCATTAAAAATTATTTTTTTATTTTGTACAAACAAAATAAATATATTGAAAAATATAAAAATAATAAAAAATTATAATTCAGATGTTAATTTAGTATCAAAAACGTAAAATATTTGAGTAGCCCAAGACATAGCCAAAGATTGAAGCGCCACAGCACTGGCAAAAATTTAAATTTGCCGACTGGAATTCTTTTGGATGATTGACGTTTCGGATGATTGACTTTCGGAAAATCGACGCTCTACTGTAATTAGTATTAAAATTTTGGCAATACTTTGGCTATTTATAAATTGTTCTTAACACACATTCTTTTATAAAATAAAACCATGTATCAATTATTTAAAAATCATCAATGTTATAAAATATATGGCAATTTTTTAATTGATGTCTGTCTTAAGAATATAAAGTCCCCAGTCCCAAAAGTATCCACTAAACTCATAATTTATTATATATGCATACATATATAAATTTTTTGTAAACCATTTAATTTAAGTTAAAAACAAAAATTTTTTTTATACCTCTTGAGACTGTTCTAAATTACTATTTGATATTTCTGTTTCACTTTCATTTATAGATGAGTCTAAAAATTCAGGATGAAGAGGCCTTCTAAAAATTTCAAATAAAATAAAATTTAAATTATTATTAATAATATATAAGAGATGTTATTTATAATTTTCAACTTTAATAATGATTTTTAATAATAATATATAAAATATTACTATCTAGCAACCTTAATCAAGACATTATCAGAGCATTAATAATGCTTTAACCAAATATTACCAGATCAGCAAATAATTACTATAATTCAAATCAGCTACTAAGTAATTAGAATATAAAGCATTACAACTCAGATTCATTGCTATTTGGTAAATGATTTTGTATTATTTATATTGGTATTAATAAAATAATTTGAAATTATAAAAAAAGATATCATTTTTCATTTGAAACAATACATAATCCTAGGAAATGACAAATATATAAAGATATTGTAAGAGGCCAGACTTGACAGGAAAATTTTATTTAAAAAAAAAAAAAAACGAATATGATTATATCCTTTCCCACAGACTTGCTTCCTTGTTTGGGAGTGACACATCAAATGCATCACTAGAAATCAAATGCAAAAATCATCATTGGATGTGAAGAATGATTTTACAAAAAAAAAAAAAAAAAAAAAAAAAGGACAAGAGTTGTGAGGACCCCCAAATAAAGGAGAAGGTCCGATGATGCACCAGAGAGTTCACCCATCCTCGAAGGTTGGTCGTGTGTGTACACTCGGATACACTTCGCTGCCGATGATCCTCCAATAGCCAGCGATCAGAAGCTTAACCGCTGATAACTGATGACCCCAAGTACCCACCAAGGACGTGTCATCTCCACTGAAAAAGGATCCAAATCAAGAGAGTGATCTTCAGATAAATACCACATGCAAACATTTGTAAACTCTCTCTCGCTTAAAGCATATGTGTAACTAGCTTATATAATCAATAAATGGGTATTATTTTCTATAATCGAATTATAAAGTGCACTTCTTTAGCCCAATTGGTCTCCATCCCAACGCAACTGCTCGCGCGTAAAGGATAACGTAACAGTGTCTGTGTCTACCCAGAAGACACAGTGGTGTCAGTCCTGATGAATTAGTCACTGCAGTCTTTGCCAACGCGATATCAACCCATCAGTCCTGTGTGCCGAAGCATGGGGGGATGCTTCGTGCATTGTCACAATATAGTTATAAAATTCTAATAATGAAATTTACCAAAGTAAAAAATATACAGGTATAGCAGTAAGACAATGTTTAGAGCACTGTGATATTAAAAAAATTAATTTTATTTTGAAACTAAAGTTTTCTTTACACAAATTAGATATCAAATAGTTAGTCTTTGGAAGATTTTTTATCTCGTATTCAAGCTGTGCACGAATTAATATTTAGCATGCTCGAAGCTATGTTTGAAGCATTCTACAATGCTTCAAACATAGTTCTGTTAATGTTCTTGTCAAATTTTTAAATTTCCTACATTTAAATAATCAGAATAGCATCAATAATTACCTTCGTTCAACATTTGCATATTTCCACTTTCGACCGTTTTTAATTTCAGATAATTGTTTTGGCTTGTTTTTCAATTTTTTATCTGTACATTCAATAGGAATAACTTTATAGTTAAGAGATGATATATTCTGATTTTCCTGTAAACTTAAAATAAATAGAAATGTTTACATACAATTGGAGAATTAATAAAGAAATATTTAAGATATAATAGTTAATTTATGGTATTTCAGACAATAATTAACAACTAAAAGTTTATTGGCTGAATTTGTTTTCTGTTATAAATTCTTTGATCATTATTTTTTTACAAATTAAACAAAAATTGTTAAAAACATTATAAATATTTTCTATTTATTATTATTTAAGGTATTTTATGACATATACAATAAAACTTTTGTCAAAGAAAAAAAAAAAAAATGAAGAAAAAAGTCTGGTCTTTTATAAATGAAGTTATAATCTCCCAAATGGTCTTCAATAGGCTATGGATAATCACTATCTAGCTCAACTCTTGAAAAAAATGTTACTGTTTAATTAAACATATTATCAATATTATTTTTTTTGTAATAGCTAAGTAGTTTTTGCATGTATTTGTGTAGAATATTTTAAAAGTAAATTCTTTTTTGAAACTCCTCTTTTTCCTGATACATTCTAATTTTACTTTTTTTAAACCAGAATACAGTAAAAACAATTTTGATGCCAAGTGCAAAGACATGGGATGACTTAAATACGCTAAATACTATTTTATCTAAATATTCTGTGCTGAAATGGATGTGGATCTTATACACTGTAAAATATGGTATATATAAACAAAAGGTAAATACAATAGAGCATCGATTATCCAAAACAATTCGGAACTAGGGTTGTTCAGATAACTGATCATGTACAAAAAATATATTAACCTATCCCATGCTGAAATTTTTCTCCATTGTGTGTTGCTTCGTGTTGAATTTTCATCAATGTTAAGCTTAAATTTTTTTTAAAAAATAATTGTGGCTATTGTATCGTGAATTGTTAAAAATTATTTCTTTATTTTGCACAAGTATAAAAACAAAAAAAAAATTATATTTTGGAAAGTTAATCTAGTATCAAAAATGTTCCAATTCAGCATGACACGTCCCAACACAGTCCTCAGAAAAAAACCACACAAAACAAGCAAAACTTACCACTCAGGATGGGGGAAAAAAGCCTCTTTCAAATACTGGTGTGTCCTTAAGTACCCTCTCATGGTTGCACCAGTGCTGCCAGCTAAAACATGCACACCAACAAAAATAATATTGGAGTAGCCCAAGACATAACCAAATATTGCAGCACCACAGCACTAGCAGAAATTTGAATTTGAAACGCTTTCGGTTAACCGATGTTTCAGTCGACCGGTATTCGGATAATCGATGCTCTACTGTATATTCATTTTCTTAAATTTCAACAAAATAATGAATTGAAAATATTGATAGTCAAAATTCTGATATTTTTATCAACAGAGAAATCAATCTAATCCAATATAATTAGACTAGTGTCATTTACTAACATGTGATGTTTGAATAGAAGCAGACTTCTTATAGAACCATGGTTTTCAAACTAATATATGTATTTCTTCAGGTATGAAGAGGGAAAGTTGAAGATCCACAAACTCAAAGTGATTGATGGCTACTCTGGTTCTTTTACAGGTGATCAGCCATCACTGCTGGAAGGGTTTCCTAAACTATGATTAAGGTTTTGTCAAATCATTTCATGAAACTGTCAATTTTGTCACAACTCCACACTAAACATTCAAATCTTGTGAATAAGCTGACTGAATTTTATGAAAGAATGACGGACGAAGAATTGAAAGTGAGAAAAAGTTATTTGCTTCAGTCAACATCATAAGAGTCAAACAAAGCATTACTAAAGAATACTATCTTCTCAGCTACTATTTGGCTAAATCATCAAAGCCACACACATTAGCAGATTATTGTTTCTGCTGCAAAGGACATTGTAGAATGCAAGCTGGGTGACAAAATATGGAAACAATTAGACCTCGTACCCTGACTTGAATGATTCTGTTTCACATCATATTCACAACATGGCAGATACTGTTGAGTGCCAACTGGTGGGTCATGTTAAGAATAGTTTGTACTATGCATTGCAAATCAAGTACTGATGTAGCAGTTGACACATGTTCTAATTATTGTTAAGTACATATCAAATAAATCACAACACCACCAAAAATCTAGAAGAAAAAAAAAACACTTTAATAAAAACTAATGTTTTCAACCAACTTTATCAGCTGTTGTCAGGTTTATAATGAAAATGCTATTCTTTTTAATCAAATTTATATATTTATTTTATTTTTAGAATTTCACTGGATGATAAAATTTTCTTTAAAAACAAAAAGACGTAATCGTTTCCAAAAATTTGGGTGATCATCATTTATTTCTTTTAAATGTTCCATAGTAAAAACTTCAGATGACCTGACCTTTCTTTTTAGGCTACACAGACATCCTGGGAAAAGTTCCTTAAAACAGGGAAATATACCAATTAAAAGTAATAACTTTTCTTAAAATTGGAATTGATGACCTTACAATGTCTTGCTTTATTCATCCTTTTCCGTTCGGGAGTTTCGGATCCTTATATCCACTGGAAATTTTTTTTTTTTTAATTTTATTATCCAGCAAAATTCTAAAATTAAAAATATTTTGTAATAATTCGCTGCCAGAGGGAGGAAGGAGGATAATCTACATTAAACAGTGCAAATTTCCAATGGGTATAAGGATCTGAAACCCCCGAATGGAAAAGAATGAATAAAGCAAGACGTCGTAAGGTCATCAATTCCAATTTTAAGAAAAGTTATTACTTTTAATTGGTATATTTCCGTGTTTTAAGGAACTTTTCCCAGGACAGCCATGTAGCCTAAAAAGAAAGGTCGGGTTGTCTGAAGTTTTTACTATGGAACATTTAAAAGAAATAAATGATGATCACCCAATTTTTTGGAAACAACTATGTCTTTTTGTTTAAAGAATATTTATTTTATGTTCAATGGTATTTTTTGTTATGAACCTGATGACAACCAATAAAGTCGGTTGTAAACATTAGTTTTATTAAAGTGATCTTTCCTTTTCATGCTGAATTTTTGGTGTTATGGTGATTTCTTACTTATTCATCCAGTTCTTTTGTTTGTTTTGTATTTATACATATCAAATGATTCCATTCAAAAATATCTTCTTTTAGTCAACTGTCAGAAAATACATCAAGAGGAAAAGAGATTTTCCCTTCGTTGATAATTTCATGGCCAAAAATGGCATTCCATGGTCTAAATATGTAGGCATTTGCTCAGACAGTGAAAGGATCCTGACAGGATGTCATTGACAAGTCACGTTTAAAAGGGAGCCCCCAAAGCAAATTGGATACACTATACTATTCATCTAGAACAGGGGTGTCCAACTCGCGGCCCGTAACAAGTTCCAATGCAGCCCAATAAACGTGTAAACAAAACCAAAAAATTAAAAAATTTTTTAAATTTATTTAATTCAAGGCATAAACTCAAAAAAGAAGTTTCACAAAGCCGCAAACCTTTATTCATATTTTATTTTTGAGTGGAAAGGAAATATTTTCAAATACTTGGAGATGTGTGAATGAGGAAGGATTACTAAATAAAGCTGGAGTTGTGACTCAAAGGATTATAGACCCAAATTTGGGGAAAGGAGAAAAGGGACAAAAGATAAAAAGTAGTGAGAAAGGTTAAATAGATCTTCTGTTATGCAAATATCAACCCTTAATTTTCCAACCTTCCTCACTTCTTTTCTTTTGTTTTTTCTCTCCTTTCCCCGCATTTGGGTCTATAATTGTGCCTCATAAGAATTTGTAAAGAAAGCCCACTAGGGGGCGTCCCGGACTACTAGTAGCCTATATTATATATACTTGTGGCCCAAAACTCCTTGACTTCTTCCAATGCGGCCCAGAGAAACAAAAAGGTTGGACACCCCTAATCTAGAAGCAATGGCCACCAAGAAAATACATGTGAATTTGCAAACTGTCTTCAATGAAATGGTCAAAATTGTGAACTTTGTAAAGGCTAGGCCCATGAATGCAAGGATATTTACTTCTATCTGCAATGAAATGGGTACTAGGCACATAACACTGTTGCATGCAGAAGTCCACTGTCTCTTGAAATAAAGTATTGACACACATAATGGAGCTGAATGAGGAACTTAAGTTTTTCTTTTTAGAGCATCCTTTTGAATTGGGCAATTGTGTTTCTAGGCTTGATTTGGATCTAAAGGATTGCATATTTGGAAAATATTTTTTCTTGCCTTAATGAATTAAATATTCAGGGTAATTTTACCACGGTATTTAATGCATGTGACAAGAATGAAGATACAATCAAAAAAAAAAAGTTTAATTTCTGGGCAAGTTATGGGGTACTGTACAAGTGAAATTTTGTGCTTCCCAACACTGTACAACTTTCTGTCCAGCACAGATATAGTTATTAACTCAAATGTGAAGGCTAATGTAATACAGTGCTTGAGAAAGATTGCCCAGCAATTGCATGAATATTTGTTTCCCTGAATTAGCTTGTGATCCACACCCATGGATATGGAATCAACTTCATTCTGATATGCCTGTTCCAGGACTGTTGGTTATCCAGCTGGAACATTGCTTGATATTTCATCGGACAATAATCTAAAAAGTAATTTCACTGATCTAAGTCTGTTGCAATTTTGAGCAGAGTTGCTGAAAGTATATCCTGAATTGGCTAGGATTGTTGTGAAAGTTCTGATGTCTTTTGTAACTTCATACCTTTGCAAGTCATGCATTGACAACTCTTAAAACCAAATACAGACATAAGCTTAAAGTTGTACTTCATTTCAAGCTTAAAGTTGTACTTGATTTCAATTAGAAAATGGTTGACAATAATTTACATGTTAAAATATATTACAGAATACAAAAATAATTTGTCTTCACAAATCCACCATTTCACAATCACCAGTGACAAATCAAACAATCTTCACATACAAAGAAGACCTTTCAACACTATACCTCTGCAAAAAAATACAAATTGGTTAATAGATGGATTTGTAAAGATAATTTTTTTTTTTGTAATAAGTGCTGTACTTGAGTACATGTATAATAATAAATTACGTAAATTAATTTTATTTGCTTAAGGCATTTCTACAAAGCACATTAGATTGTCATTGCTCTTCAGTGATGATCTAAGATGTAGAAAAGACTACAGTTTACAAAAGGATATTTGAGGATTTGTATTTCTGTCCAAGGGGCACATAGCCAAAAGAAGTTTGAAAACCAGTTATAAAACCAAAACTTGCAGTCAAAACAAAACTAAGTATACTATCAGAAAATCCAAAATTTTAAGTCATTATACATTTTATAAGCTATGAAATGCTGAAGTTGTAATTCTCAATGCCTCATCCAAATGTCTGATTAACTTAAATATCATTTGCACAATTTTTAAAGATGTTTTATTATTATTAATTTGCCCTAAATTATTTTAAATTACATTTTCTTTTGTCATACCATTGATTACAATTGTAAATAAAAAAATAATAAACTTAATATATTAATATTATGACATATATACCTTATATTGCTGAGAACCAACTTTACTGCTTTAAATATTTGTTTAAAGCAGTATAACAATAATCTTATACAAAAGATATGTGGATGATGTATTCATTTTACGAAGGAATGATAGAAGAATACAACATTTTTTGAATGAGATAAATTCCAACAAGGATGGTTTAAAGCTTAAATTGAAGCAACTTAGTTTGCAACAGAAATTGAAATTTTAGACATTGATATTTCATTCAATAATGATTCCTTAAGCACGAAGACATACATCAAGCCTACTCACAACAACATTATACATTCCTTCCTTCTCCAATGATCTGCATACTTATAAGACTTCAGCATTTAGAACTCTAATTAGAAGGGCATTCCATTATTGCTCTAATGTGTATGACAGGTTGCAAAAGTTGGATAGAATTCGAGCCATTGCTAGAACATTGGGATTTGGAGCAAAGGTCATTGAGGGATTAATAAGTTCTTACTCAGATTTCCAACAAAAAGATGACAAAGAAAACTATGAACAACAATGTTACTAAGTTCACTTACAACAGAAACATGTTCAATATTATGAAAGAAATTGCAAATTATAAGAACACAAGATTAATGTACAAAGGGATTCCTATAGTTTATAACTTGCTTAGGAATGACAAAGATATGATCAAGAAAGAAGAACAATCTGGGGTATACAAGATACAAAATAAAAATTATCAATTAGGTTTGAACAAGGAGTATGTAAGTCCAGAAACCTCACAAAAGAATTAAAGAGAATATGTATGCTCCTTAATTCTTTTCCTTAATCCTTAATTCAATGGTGAGACTTTTAAATTATACTGTTAATAAAATAATTATTAACACTACAATTTAAAAACCTCATCGATGATGTATGATAAGTCTTAAAATACTTCAGTAAGAATTGAGCTTAAAGAATAAGACATAATTACTGTGTGTTATACAGTTTTTTTTTTGGTACTTCCATATGCTTTTTTAATCTTCAAGAGATACAATCCGCCATATACATACAAGCATTACTAAACAGCTTCCGCATTACTAAACAGCTTCCATATTAATAAGTATTAATAAATTACTAAATATTTATAATTATTTAAATTTTTAAAATAACAATAACTACTTACTTTTGTTCATTATCTGATGCAATAGATACGTGAGATACTTTATCAGTTTTTGAATTCAAACCATTAGATTCTAAAACAAAACATCATTTTATTTCAATTTATTATTTATTAAAATTTAATAATGATCTAATCATATATTTGTGGAATAAATATAAATTTTAATTCTTACAATAATTCTGTAATCACACATAGCATATGTATAAAGGTTATTTTGATTAAGAAATTGATTGAAATATTGCATACTAAAATATTCAATATCTGATTATTTAATTAAATTTCATTCTTTGTTATAATTTGTTCAAATTAGTTAAAATTTATAAAAAACTGATCTAATTTAATAAGTTTTGCAAGTCACATTCATAACAATTCTGAAGATCTTTTGTATCATCATGATTGTAACATGCAAAATAGTATTATTAAAAGCAAACAAGTTTAAGCTGTTTTTAAAAATTCTGGTTTTATTATTAAAAATTAACATAATAAAATTTTTGTTTTCTTACTACTAAATCTCATTGCATTATAAATATCTCTTCATGATTTTGAATGAAGACTATTTGTTCTCTCTGTAATAAGATATCTGGCTTTCCAAAGCCATTCTAGCATGCCTCTAATTCCAACTACAGGTACTTCCCTACTTATAAACAGGTTAGGTTCCAAAGGTTAAGTAAAAATGTTTGTAAGTCAAAAAACTGATAATACCCAGTTTAGTCTCCATGGTAATAGAATGACACTTCTTGCATTTATCTGCATTACTAAATTTACTATTATAGTTTGGATGCATTTTTTGAAGCACTAATCATAAAGTTTATAAAAATTGTAAACGATAGCAAAAAATGCCATTACTCCAATATTATCAAATTCAATGCCACCTCACTAGCAGCAATGGAATGTCAGAATTTGCACAAAAATGAAAAATAATGATAAGCAATAGAAATAAGGCCACATTAATTATTTATTACTGGCCAAAGATTAAGCTTCAACACCACCTTACAAATGGCAAAAGAATTCAGAATCAATGCTAAATTTATATTTTAGATATACAGACAAATTGTTCATGAGTCTGAAAGTTTGTAAGTTGAATGTTCATAAGTAGGAGTTCCTGTATTATGTAAGTCAGTAGTGTCCAGACTTTTCAGCTGGCTGATCAAACTGCTTATAAATTATAAGTGCATAGAGACCACAAATATCTTGTATATTCTATATCTACAACAAGAAATCCTATTTCTAACATTTATAAGAGAATATAAACATCTACTTAACCCAAACAATTGCAGGATTACATTGGGCTAAATTAATGCTACTACTAATACCATTATTATTAATAGTAACATCAATATAGCTTGATGTAATCATTTGGCTATAATTTATAAATGCTCAAATATGTTTGCAGGTCAGATTTGGCCTAGGGTCATAGTTTTGGTACTACTGACGTAAGTCTTAATATATAGAGAATCAAAAATAAATCTGACAATATCAGGAGTCAGATCATTCTATTTCCAAAATTCACCTATTCATTTTGTTCATTTCTATCAGTTTCCATTTCCTTTATACTTTGCTAAAAATAAACATTTTGGAGAATATGTTTATTCTTAGCAATCTAAGTAATCTATTACCTTATGCAACATATGCACAAAATATGAAAATTTTGTTTTTAATTCAAAATTAATAGATCAAAAACACACTGTTTCAAGTGAGTGATTGTGTTTTTGGTCCAGAACTAATCAATTTATCTGGATCAGAATCAAAGGATTAAATTTTTTCTTTTAGTTCATAATATTTTAAATGTACTAAAATTCAAAAGTATCAATTTTTTCTCTCAATTTACTTTGGTATCCAATTTTTATTCAAAACATTACTATTGATAAAAACAGCCTAATCTTTGTTGTCAATGAAATATCCTTATCCTTTAAAATATTTATAATCATTCTTTGTTGATTTAATTTCTCTTTATATCTCTATATAATATCTATCATCAGCTGCTTTGGAATCCAGAAGAGGGTAACACTCTATAACCAGGGTGGCCAAGCTCCTTGATAGTCCGAGCCATTTTTCAAAATTTGAAATTTTTCGCGAGCCACAATTAAATACGTATTAAAAAGGTATGCAAAAAATTCCAGATTACAAATTATATCCGTAGCAAGAGTGATACAAATTGTTTCCTCCAGAGCACAATGTCAACTGTCCATTGCAATGACAGTTTACAAATTCAAAATCGGTCTGGAGTCGGTCGATAACGGACAATTATGCCACTGTTTATGTTCGTTCGTGCAGTTTTCGATGAGTCATATCATTCTTAACTTGGACGGAAATGAAATTTGTTACAACGTTGCACTTAGTCTTTCATATTTGTTGTTAGTAATTTAAAAGACATTTTGAAACACATACGGAACAATAATAATTTTTTAAAATATAATAACACAAAAATGAAAAAAAGACTCGGGTACATTTATTGAAAGCCACAAATAATCCTTCAAAGAGCCATATGTGGCTCGCGAGCCGCAAGTTGGCCACCCCAGCTCTATAATAAATTTTTTTTCTTTACAATCATCAGTCTGTGAGATGAAGTTTTTCATGCCTATCATCCATTTAACATTAACAATCATATTTAGAACTTGATATTTTAAATTCCCTAATATGTTTTTCTAAGTCATTTCTGCTCTTATCAGGTACTGATTCCATAATGATAACTGTCAACAAAATAAAAAAATGTCCTTAAGCAGAATGTCAAAGTCAAATTTTTAAGACCAAAAATGCCTCTATCAGACAGACATTCCAAAAATAACAAACATAAATTGAAACAAATAAAATTAAAAAATAAAAAAAGCCTATTTTTACTTCTATTCCTAATTTCCATTTTTGTTTTAAAATATTTTGTTTGTTTTTTAAAACAGTTCTTTACTCATTTCAGTTTATGCTCTTTTATTTTTAACAGATCATCAATCTGGCAATGAGACATTTTGGTATTGAAACACATTTCATCTTTCAAAATTCAGTTTTTACATTCCATTTTAGTAAATTTTTGGTTTCGTTAATTTCTGCTCTTTGCTAACAAAGAAGTTATATGTACATCTCAAATTCTTAACTTTTCTATCTCATTGAAAATAATTGCTAGCATAATCTCCAATTTCAACTACATAACTATTCTCTCTTTGACATTATCAAATGGTCTAACGCTTTGCTGAGGATTGCTATCCTTTTAATGTAAGCTAAAATGATACAGAGATGCAGAATATGTCTGATTGCATAAATGAAGTTTGGGAAAAATTAAAATAGTCCCGGGAAAATTTGCAATAGAAAATTAACACTATGGCAACAGGTGCAAAATCATCACAATGAAATAGATTAGCATTTTGGCTAAGCCTACAGACATTAATTGGAAAAGTTTTTCAAAACATAGGAAAACCATGTTTTAAAGTGAAATTGAAACATTGTTTACTTTGTTTCTGATCAGTTCAGTTACTTGTTACATTGGTACCTACTTAAATGGTTATGCACTTGTAGAAAGGCCAAGTCCTTTCTACAAGTGCATAACCATTTAAGTAGCCCTTACTGAACCAATTTCAAGTTTTATAAAAAATACCAAAAGAAAACTGAAACAAAGCTTTAAAAGAACCAAAACAGAAAACTGTTATAGGTATATTGTATATATAGATTATATATATAATACAATCTTTTTGGAAGTCTTAACTTTATCTTCAGAAACTTTTAACTGATCTTGAGCATAAGAATAATTAAGATATAGAAAAAATCAGGAAATCCATAAAGGAGAAATCATCAAATGTTTTTACTCTTAACAAAATTAATATACATTATTTTAAAATTTTATAATAAAGTAAAATCATTTTCTATTATTGAAAGTCTATAATAATAAACACAGCAAAATTTTTCTAAAAAGAATTAATTATGACTTTTTAAGTATAAGGTGCAACTAGAAATTATAATAAAAGAATTCTTAGAGATTAGATATTATATAATAAGACAATTTACATACAAGATTATATATATATTAAATTGCACATACCTGTTACAACAGATAAAGTCTGCTCAACTTTTAACTTTGGATGAGAACATAACTTTGAAAAACTAGTGGAAGACTGTGATTTCTGAAAGAAATGTTTCAGCTTTAAAATGTGTAATTTATCTTGTTCTGAAAATTAATATTGCATATGAATTATTGGAAATTTTATTTAAAACCAATAACACAAATGATTTTTAATAATTTAAAATATAATCACACTGAATTTTTAAATCCTCTATACTAAAAATATAACATTTGAAATTATTAGTTATTTTAATACTGTATATGTTAAAATCTTTTATTTCTGTTACAACATTAGAATATTTTTTCTGATTGTTAAATACCATAAGTTTAAAATACAGCACCAAAACAAGTGATAGCTTACTAGAAATCAAAACATTTTCAGTGTATTTGACAGACCATTCTCAAAGTTTAAACTGTTGTATTTTTGATAGAATACAACTTTACTTTTCCATTATGGTAACAGTCACTAAAATGAAAGTTATTTTTACTATGAACTACTTCCCATTCAAAATGTAAAGCCAAACAACTTAGGCACTTCTATGTCAGCAGTCTAAGATTGAAATAAGTTAATTGAACATTTAGGTTAAGGGCTATTTTGAGAAGACAATGTCTTGCATTTGTGGCTAAAGGAATGATTAATGGCTCAATCTTGCCCTGAAATCCAAAGCAAAGTCTAAATCAATAGCTTAATGTAATGTCTAAATGGTTCCAATTCTAACTGGCTGTAGTGTCTCTGTGATATCAAGAATTTGTATTTCTTGAGACGAATCGATGACAACTTTAACAACTGTTGTTATAATGCATGTTCTTTGAGCAATGGTATTGGTGATGACAAACCGCATGGTTCCCCTTGTCAGTAGTGGAAGAGTTCAAATTTGTTTTAGGTGGGAGAATGACATGAGGGAAGAATCAAAATTGTCTTGCTGTTATTTGTGCAGTTGTTTTTTAATTATTATGCTTTTAATTGAATTTTCTGTTTTATAATATTAAAGAAACATTTATTTTTTGCTTTTTATCTAAAATAAAATTATTTTGTAGCGAGTGGTCACTTCTAAATAACAAACTAATTCTCTTAATTTATTCTTTGTTCGTAATTCCTTTATGCTTTTGTCGAGATTTTTGAGTATTAGTTATTCTGTTTAGTTGTTGGTTATGTGATGGTTTTTCTCTTTCGTTTAGAATAATTTTTTGTTCCTTTATATTCTATATCTGTGATTCCCAAAGTGTAGGTCACAAAAAAGTTTTATGAGTTTCAAGAGGTTTTACAATTGCCCAACATGCTTGTCTTGTAGACTTAACATTGCATCTATCACACCTGAACCATTGCACCTTTCTCAAATCTCTCTTCAGAACTAAATAGCTATTTAAAATAAAACATAATAAAAAATAAAACAAAGAAAGAATTTGTCCAATCTGTGAGAGGTCGGACTTCGGAAAAAAACCCATAATTTTATTCGGGAATTTTTCGAAAGAAAATCCAGTTTTCGTTTTGAAAAAGAAATTTATTTAAATCTCAGAGGAAAAAAAACACTTTTCCATTTTATTACCGGAGGATGAGTGCATCTCTCTTCCTGGAGTCATTTCCTTTCCCAGGGAACTCAGAATGTGTCACTGGGAACTACAACAAAAACAATTCACTATTGGTGGAAAATGACAACATGACTTGGAAATAAAGAGGAGACCTAAAGGAACAGTGAGAGGGGTCGAGAGTCCGCGAGAATATTCCGTGTGTGCCAGCCAAAAAAATTTATCATCATCGCTCATCACCGCGCGCTCCTCCCGAATATCCAGTGTTTCTCCGGGAACACCTACAAAGAACTAACAGATCTCAACTTTTGAGAGACTTTAACCGCCATCCAAGGCAACAGAGACATTCCCAAGGCTCCCCAATGACTTCACAGACATCTGGAAATGCGTACATAGTGCTTCAGGTATTTATAACAACCTGCGATGTTATGTAAGCTCTCTCTCACCAACTCGGTTCTCGCAAAGAAACTTTAAGGTAAATATCCTTTTGTAGAATTAGTTTAATAAACGAATGTTGTTATTGTTAGAATTGTGTTGGGTGTACTTCCTCAAGTGGTCTCCATCCCAAGTCCAACCACTCACAGATGCGACTGCTCGCACGTAAACGTGAACGTAACAGTCTCTGTGTCTACCTAGAAGACACAGTGATGTCAGTCCTGATAAATTTGTCATTGCAGTCTTCGTCGACGCAATGTCAACCCTTCGGTCCTGTGGTGCCGAAGCATAGAGGGGGCCCTTCGGCATTGTCACAATCATCATCTACAGAGTAAGAGCTTTAATTTGATATCTGAACCATATTTTTAGTCCCAGCCATTTACTAAAACTAAGTCAGACAAACTGAAATTTTCTTTCAATTAATATAGATTTTTACTGTGTTAACTTTTGATGAAAGTTTAAAATACATAATAGTAGAAAACTACAATATTGTCAATATTACAATACTGTCATTTTATTATTTCATTTTCTTAATCACAAAATAATAATTGTAAATCAATAAATTAACAATATATGCATCAAATAATCCTTAAATTTTGATAAATATATTTTCAATTCAATAAGCCCATATTAACTGTAATCACCATTGCCGTATATTTTGTGCTTAAAATTTGTTGATTAACAAAATTTTTAATATTTATAAATGTAATGTAATGTTCAAACAATTATGTTCAATTAAATTAAATTGACATTTTGTTTTATAAAAGTTGTTTCAAACAGCTGATAATGACATTACAATATTCAATATATTGTAAAACCTGCATAAACTGGAATTGCATGATGCCGAATATTTTTTCCTGGTTCAGCAGTTTTTCATTTTGAACAGCAATTATTTATTTTTTTATCAACAATCTACATCAGATAAATATCACACAGTTAGTTCCTCTTTTATAGTAAAATCACAGTTAGTTCCTCTTTTATAGTAAAATCTCTTTTATAGTATCATCATATATAAAATTTATACATACAGGCATTTTTATTACTAAACTTAATCCAAATTAATTCCAATTAAAGATGGGAGTATTCAAATGCAAGAATTTAGAACTGAGTGCTTAGCCTATATTAGAACTATTCAATTGTAAAAAGTTGTTCTTATTCCTAAAAACTTGTGATAATAAAGACTATATCCAAACATATTTGAATACTTCTTGAATGTAGTCCTTATTAGCTCAAATGATAGCAAACATGTCAATATGCATTCCAAAACTAGTGTCTTGTTATTATCAACCATTTGTTTTTGAATTCCCTGACTTTCCCTGATTTTCCCTGACTTTCCAGGTGCGTAGGAACCCTGCTAGTGTCTTGTTATTATCAACCATTTGTTTCAATTTCTGTAATTATCAGCATGTCAGTTAATCAACTTATTTTCAAATACTCAGTACTAGTTAGCTACTAACTACTCAGTACAAGGTAAATTGGTAACACTCTATTACCTTATTTATTCTCATTATTTTCTCAAATTATATGAATTACTCGTTCTCAAAAACAATTCTCAAAATTCTTGATTCTGCCCTTGGTTAATTCCAATAAAATGTTAACAATGACCTTACATCCAGACATCCCATTGCCACATGAGCTGCATTTCTTTGACAAGGCTCACAAATTTCTCTCAAAATACAGTCATTCTCTGCAATAATAGTAATATATCTGAATACAATTTTATTTATTTGTCTGCAAGTAAAATTTTAATTTTTCACTTTATCCAGGTTAAATTACTTTTTTCATATCCAAAAACCTCTTCTGTTTCTACATTGAGTATGTTTCTGGCTTATAATAGAATTTAACATAAAAAAATTACTCTGTTCCAAAGAACTTTTTCCATTTTATTCAGTTCTGCTTTGGACAGGTTTTACTGTATTAGTTTCTTAATATTATCAGCATCTGTTACACAATAACATCATGAAACAAAATTTATTTCATCCATTCATCAATAAAATAATTAGCATAAATAAGTGTATTAGAAATATGATTATATATGTTACCGGCCAAACCCAATTTCAGGCCAAACTAGTTTATCCTACATGGTCAGGATATACTAGTTTAGCCTAGGACAATCTAGTTTGGCCTAAATACTTTAGGCTTAACTAGTTTGTCCTAGGCCAAACTGATTTATGTACTACAAATAGGTGCCAGTGTAAAAAAAATGATTTTGTGTAATTTGAAATGCCACCACAGTACACCCAGTGGTTAAAGTGTACCTAGGTAACCCCAATGGCGGTGCTTCGGTTAGATTAACCTGTCCTATGTTGATCCCGAAAATATTCATGTTGACCTCATTGACTTGTGTGGATGATCCCGAATATTTCCGTGTTTACATCGGAATGTTTTTGATACTAGATGTCGCTTTGTGTCACAATTTTTATATTAAAACGAACTTTTAAAATAAAATTTTTTCGTTTTTATATTATTCAATATATATATATTTTGTTTGTGAAACATAAAAAAATAATTTTTTATGATACAGTAAACATGATTATTATTTTAAAAAAAACAAAAAAAAATAGTTAGGTTTAACATCAATGAAAATTCACATGGCATCACAGGCAACAAATAAAAATTTCAACACTGAATAGGTTAACTACATTTTTAGTAGACGTTTCCTTTTTTTTCTTTTGTGCAAGAACTACCATGAATCAATAACTAGTGACATTAAACAATGGGCGGCCTGCTGGCAGCTCCCCTCCGGGAGGAGTCTGCTGGGAGCACGAACAGTCCAAAGTGCCGCCATTGAGGTTACCTAGGTACACTTAACCCACCCTGTAAAAATAAATAAAAGATTAAATATTTTATATGTTACACTAAGAAACACAAACAAGTTCATTTTTAATTTTAGTTTGACATTAAAAGTTATTTTTATTATTTTGTTTGAATTTTTGAAAATATTTTCAATTGTTAATTACCTTTAAAAGTGCATGGCTTAATAAAAACAATACAAACTGATAAGTACTAATTAGCTTATTTTTATTTTATAGTTTTGTACAAGTGTTGTGTCACTTCTAATCAATACCGTTTTTTATAATTAAGTAGACTATGTTTGAATAAATATTGTTCATCTAATTGATTGCCTTTTAATTTTATTTTAACCATTAATATACTTAAATCAGGCCTGGCCAACCCGCGGCCCGTCACATTAAATTGTGTGGCACGCTAAGCGATATTATATATCTATTAAAACTTTCGTTTTCCGTTTTGTGTATACCAAAACAATTAAATAAATGAAAATTTGCATGTGTCATTGTTATAATGCGCAAGTGCGAGTACGAACTCTTGGTATAACAATGAAATCTTATTCATTTTGTATTTGTTTTACTTTTTTAAAAGCATGTTTGCCTAAATTGTAGCCCATTGTAATGTTACGCGTGATCAAAGTGGCCCGCAAAAAATTTAGGTTGGCCAGGCCTGACTTAAATAATAATTACACCATTTGAAATGACTTAATACAAGTTTTTAAAATCACATGACTGGGGCAGTTCCAAATGTCTGATAGATGAAAACAGATGCCTGAAATTGGCATTACAGCGAGAAGACATTCTGTGCGCTTGAGTTTGCAAAGACAAATTCCAACAAAACTATCTAGAACAGATTATGGGGCAATTTGGAGGCATCAACATCCAGTGCAAGTATATATGGCATTTGCTAGCTTTGTCAAATTTCTTCTCTGGTAGAGGAAGAAGCCAAACAATTATTCATCAATTTCAATTCTCTTTCTTTTATTTTGGTAATTTTCATTTCATTACATAAAACCATGTTCAAACTACAAACATCAAAGTAGGCTATGAATTACAAAGTAAAAAAGAACTGTTTAGTTTTGAACTCTTTCTGTCCTACAAACATTAAGTGTGTCTTTTCCAAATCCATCATGGGTTCAGCCAGATAGCAAGGGATGGGATCTGGTTTATCTGAAACAGACCATTTATGAAAAAATTTCTGAGGTTCCAACCCTGTCTTAAAGACTGGCTGCCAGAGTGGCAGACTCATGCCACCTTGGTCATCCAATTGTCAATCTTCTTAATATCTTGAGATGATTACACTCTGCTGTAACTGATTGACAATTCTGTGCTATGTCTGCATTGCACAGAATTGCCAATCAGTTACACCAGTATGATGCATCACCAAATAAAAAATAGGACAATTTAGAAATGCAAAAAAGGAGTAGGTGTGATGGTGCAATGTCACAAGTGTTCTCATTTTCAATATGAATGTTAAAACATTTAAGTAGTCAATATTTAATAGAGATGAACTGTTTTTTGATACTGTCTCAGCTTCAGGTCTTATACAATGATTTTTCTAAATTGAACATATGTTTGTGTCAGCATTCTAAAACTGTGTACCACAAGCATGTATTCAAAACTTTCAAACCTCAAGAACATACAAATATTTAAAGTTAAATAAAATAAAATGAATGGTCAAAATATTGAACATAAATACAAACTGATTTATATGCTTACATCAGTTACAGCAGTATAATGCATGATGTACTTTAAAAATAAAAATTAGATCCAGAATTATGAATAATTCTGTATTTTATAATTTTTGAATTAAAAAATAAATCATTAAAATTAATTTATGTATTATTATAGAAATCTTTACATGAAATTTAGATTCAAATTATTTTTACAAATTCCAAATAATTCTAACAATTTCAAATTACAGTAGAAACCAATTATTTTAATTGCTTTTGGACGGATTCTGATTTTATTGACTGTGACATTAAAAAGACAAGTTAAAACAATTAAACTATGTATGACTTTAAATTTTATTAGTAGTAATTATTATTTAATTAATAGTTATTTATCTAGTGTTATTTGCCTGTCCTACAATATCATCTTTAAGGTTGATAACAATTTGACATTATCAATTACATGTTAACATTAATGGTGCAAAAAAGATGACTTAAAAAAATGCCTATTTATCTTAAGATAATGTTAACTATAACCAAAACTTTAATTAGTTTAATAAGTGTATTTTTAGTTACACATTTTAGAAAATTCTAATTTTGATAACATTATATAGACGATAATATCAATGATTACAATTAGTGAATTCTATTATAGTACTAAAAATTATATAAATAAATATTTCAAATAATTCTAATTTTGAAAAAACAAACATACATTTACTGAGGGAGTACAAATTTGCAATTTAGTTTCTTTCCAGCTATCTGTCATAATTTTCTTTCTTTCTGGTTTTTCTTTTTATCACTGAAAGTGTAAGGCCACTGGCCTCTCCTTAAGAGGCATTCACTGTTTCAATCAGTACTATCTCCCTATAAAAAAAAATTATATTTATTTAAAAGATTTCCATTTAAAATTATGCTATTTGCTTAATAACACTAATAATATATTAAATAAGGAAATAATTATTTCAAACTGATTCTTTTTTTATAAATAAACAATAATAAACATTAAGTTTTCTTCCATGTTTAACAATACAATTTTAATAAGTATTTTTGAGATAACTTTTTATCATTAAAATGTACAATCTTCTGTATGTATATTTGTGTGTGTGTATGTATATATATATATATATATACATATACACACAAAACCAATGGGGATGAGCAATACATGACATACAGACATACCTTGTTTAATGTTATCTCTGAAATAAAACCTCAATATAATGTAGTCCATAATTTCAAGTCCCATTTAATATAAAAATATTAAAATTTTAAGGTCAGTGCCTGAAAGTCATTTGATTCCCTAACAATGATGGCATGTCATATATTTCCAAGCTTTAGATATATCTGTTTTAACAGTTTCATGCATAATTGGTATAATTTAGTTGTTGCTTACACTTCAGTGTGGTGCACTGCAATAAAAGCAATTTCTTTAGATACTAAATTAAATATCATATAAAATGTGTTTAAAGGGGTGAAAGAAAATCCAACGAGGCACTTTTTTACAACTAGTGCAGTCAACAATACTTAGTCAATAAGAAAAAAGAAAACAGTCTGCTCAGAATTGAACAGATGTTACAGCAGCAAAATTAACTTACTTAAGGAATCCAATTTTAGGAAAAAATGGAAGAAATGTTAAATTTGTGAATGGATGATGTCACAATGTCATATGACTAATTCAATGGTAATTCAAGAAAAAGCATTATTTTCATTTGATCATTTAAAGTCTAAACAAACTGAAGAATTGTGGAAAATTTTGTGATTGGTTTGAGAAATTTAAAAAACTAGCCAAAATTCATAGTGTAAAATTATCAGAAGCTGCAAAGAAGTTTTCAAAAAAACTAAAGAAAATAATTGAACATGAAAATTTTAAAATTTTTCACCAAATTTAATGTTCAATGTTGACAAAAGCAGTTTGTTCTGCAAACAGCTATAATTTCTATTGAAAAAAAAATTAGCAGTTGGGTTCAAAGCAGCCAAAGACCATTTAACATTACTTTTTGGATCAAATGGCAATTTTAACTTAAAACTGTTACAGTTTACCAGTTGGAAAATTTCAGGGCATTAAAAGGATACAAAAAACAAATTTACCTGTAATATGGAAAGGTAATAGAAAAGCCTGGATTACCAAGGAATTATTTACTGATTGTTTTAACCATTTTTCTAGAAATGAAATTTCCCTGATTCGACTGATGGATCAGATAGTAATACAACATTTAAATCTGAAATCTGCATTGTACATTAAGCAATTTAAATTGAACTAGAAGATAAAAGCAAATATCAATTAAAAACATTAATAGTTCTTGGAAAGAAGTCACTTAGAAACTCTTAAAGGAAGTTTGGTGTAAATTATGGCCAAAAGTTCTACTGAAAGAAAATAGTATTCAAGAGATTAGAAATGAATTTATCCAGATGGCTCAATTATTAGGGTTTTGAAAATGTCAACAAAAAGGATGTAAGAAATTTATTTTGTTTGTTTATAGAATTTTATATATTTATTTAATTTTTCTTTCCAAAACAGTGATAATTATTGGTTGTTTTTCATAGTTAAAAACTATTTAATGACTAAAAATATATAAACAATTTATTTATTTTGACCAAAAATATGTTTTTCTATGAAATTCAATAGACAAAATAAAAAAAACTTATTAATTTTATATTTTTGTAATGTAATTTATAACCCAACTAGAAATAAATTATACATTGTTTTTGTTTTCACTCAATTATAACCTGTTTTTAAAAACTGGCAAACTTTAGCTAGTAATTTCAATAAATATTAATTTAAATATCAAAATGTTTTATTTTATTTTATTTTTACATCACCATTCACCATTCAAGACATCAAAGTTAAATATGTAATTTTGCTATTATGTAGTTGTGTAGTTATTTCACTTGGGAGTTCATGGTCAGGTTTTTGCTATGAGAAGGAGTCCTTGGGCATAAGTTTGGGAACCATTGGTATTGCAAGTGAAAACTGCAAGGTAAAACCAATTTTGGTCTACCACTCAGAATCCCCAAGCATTCAATAAGTTCAATATGTCTAAATCCTATCTTAGTGTTTTGTGGAAATCCACCAGCAAAGTCTGGATCACAAGAATAGAATTTGGAGACAGGATTTGCAAAGTGTTTGGACAAAAACAATCTGCCTCTAAAAGCCATTTTAACCTTAGATAATTCACCTGTCCATCCAATGGGTAAAGAAGAAGAGCCACCCAAGCAATTCGAGTTTATCAAGGTGATTTTTTCTACCTTCCAATACTACATCTCTGATCCAGCTTATGAATCAGCTAATAATTGCAAATTTCAGAAAACTTTATACAAGTACCCTTTTTACCAGGTGCTTTGAAATGTGTAAGACTACCAACATGACCCTAAAAAATTTTGGAAGGAAGAATTCAACATTGTCATTGCAATTAGACTAATTATAAAGGCTTGGCAAAAAGTAACAATTAAATGTCTCAAAGCAACAAGGAGGAAACTGTGTCCTTCCTTTGGTAATGAAGAAACTGTAGATGAAGGTGACATATTGGTAAAGGATATTGTGCAACTGCTCATGATCTCAACTTGAAATTGATTACCTTAAATACTCGAGCTATAAATCCACTATATTTAATAATTAATACTAAGTAATTTGCTACTAGAGGTAGATGTTAGATGCCATCTCTTATCTAAATTAATAATTATAATTTAAATAGTTTATTAAATAATTTAGAGTCATCTGGAAGAAAAGAGCTGGCCTGGGGCAGGACTTAAACCTTCAGCTTCCGCTTGCTGTGTGGTGCACTTGCCAGATGTGCCACCTGGACTCCGAGCAAGCCTTTGCTTCCAAATGTATATAAATTTAGATATAACTTTATGTTATCACAACTGTATTTTGACCCTGGTCCACCAAATGGCACTATAGAGTACAAACAGATTGTATCTTATCATAGGTGTTGATATCCTTATAACTGAAGAAACAACACTGTTGCACATATTTATGAATATATAGATTCCATCAATTATAAGGATATCAATGCCCTCTCTGTAGCATGGAAAGCTTGGTTTGATTTGGATATGGCATAACCAGAATTGATGTCTTCAGGATACTCACTATAATCTTTACATTTGTTATATTTGTTTTATTTATAGATTTGTTTTATGAGCTTTTGAGCTTATATTGTATTTTTATTTATGTTGTTTATTTGTTCATTATTTATTAAAATATTTATTTGTAATTTTATTTTATTCTATTATTTTAATTTTTAACTTAAACTAATTGGCATTCTGTGTTTGGAAAATTATCTGTTATATTCTATTTTTGTTAAATTTGATTTTGTATTCTAACTGAGGATGGTCTTTAAAAATGACTGAAAATGTTCGTAACTAAATTGTTTTTGCTGTTTTTAAAGGTTTTCAGTGTCTGAATTTCCATATTTACAGTTTCTATTTCAGCATTCTCTATGGTTTGTTGAATCTACTGGCCTCTCTTACCTCAACAACATGGTAACTAGCAAAAATATTATTAATGTCACAATCAGCTATTCATTTTATACCAGTGCCTAGTGCTATTCTGAACTAAGATCAAGACATAACTATATAAAAAAAGGTGTTATTTAATTTGTATGTTGTTAGTATGCATGTGTATGTATATTTAAGAATTACCCGAATATGTGACACATGCGCAATTTGGTTGCTTTCTAGAGTGTGATGTATGCTGTTTTCCATGTGTTCTTTTCTATGTCTGTCTGAGTTGTGTATTTGTAGTATGATTGCTGGATGTATCGTATTTTGTGTTTGTATGCAAGCTTTTCATGCATATGCCATTTGGTTATGTTGATGTAAGTAATCTGTGTTAAAAGCTTGCAATCTAATGTGATATGTTATTTAATTTTATATATAAGGTAGATTTTTCTACATATGTTGTCTGTAAGTGTTGTGTCTTTTAAGTTGTGCTTTTCTGTAGTTTTTTTTATTTAATCTTCAATCATGGAATTTTTTTTAAAGTTATTATATTACCATTACTCATTATTACAGTGTACTCTTTCTAATCCAAACTAATTATTGTATGGCAAGGTTTGGATTAGCATTATTAATATATAAAAAAAATGAAATCAAAAAAGACTATGTGCATTTTAAAACTTTTATACCATATTTGATACATTTACTTATACTAAAATATGTACTATAAATTAATTTTACAGATTTGCCATGTTTTGTAGAAAATTTTGATTTATGTTTTTGACTAGAATGTGATGAGAGACTCCCGAAAATGTCAATGGAATACATTCCACAAAAAAAGAAAAAGAGAGGAAGACCCAAGTAAACTTGGTGCGACAGAGTAAAGTTAGCATGTAGTGCAAACAGGATTAAAGAGGAATGGTGTATGGATAGAGAGAGATGGAGAGGGTTCCTGGAGGTCGAAACATGATGTCAGATGCCATAAACCAAATATAGATGGACTAGAATATTTAGTAGAAAAAATAAACATAATTGGTTTTAAATTAGTAAGAGTGCACACATTATTATTATTTATTTTATTAATTATCCTTGCTTAATGCAGGATTTGATTAACATGAAAAATTAATTGTGGCAATTTCTTTTTATACATGGCAAAAAGTTTAATTAACATGACTTTAACAGCTGTCTTTACTTAACATAAATATGTTTTTCTTGGCAAATACGGTGTCGGTAAATTTGCTATTTTCATTTATTAAAATTAAAATATTTTTTATTAACTAAAAATTTTCTAGTCTGAATAATCACCATTTTCTAGTAAATGGTGATTGTTCGGTTTGAATACTGAGGTACCACTGTATTTGATTAATGCAATTTTGACATAAGTGATAGACATCAAGAAATTAACTAACTGTGTTAATCAAAGGATA